ACACACAGACACACACACATTCAAACATAAACAACATTAGCCGGGCGGCTAGTTAGCCAGCTAAGCTAACTGCTAGCCGACGTTACAAACAAAAACAAAAACAAAAAAATCGATGAAATTATAAAAACAATAGCTACCAGTCCTTTAATTCTACACAGTGTCCCGGTCCGGTCCGGTATCAGGACGGCGCTCCGTCCGGCACCGGGAGCTCTGCACAGTCTGCGGCGGAGAACTGCAGCCTCCTCACGGCCTCTTTGATCAGGTTCCCCGATAAGATTAAGTCCTGCAGGAGCCGGTGCGGGTCGTCCTCCTCCACCGGGATCCGCTTCCTGCTCCACGGTTTGATCCGGTCCCAGTCCGGGTCCGAACCGGGGACGTGGTACGGGCTCGCCCTGCTGCTCCTCCCCCGGTGTCCCCGGTTCCGGAGCCGCATGCAGCAGCGTGTCTGCCCCGCAGCCGAGGAGCTGTTCCCGCCTCCTCCGTTACCTCCGTTACCTCCACCTCCACTCATGACCCCGCCGGTGCCGCCGCCGGTCAGCCCGTGCAGACAGGACACCGACACGGACACGGTCTGCTGGTGTCCCCCGGTGTTGTTGTGGAGCTGCAGCGCCTCGCCGATCTTCGTCACCAGCGCGTCCACCTCCTTCGAGTCGACGGTGACCGACTGCTCCAGAAAGATGTAGTTCTCCTTCCGACACGGCATGATGTTCGGTTCCCGTCCCCGGTGTGTTTTCTGTCGGTTGTTTGTGTGTCGGTGTGACTGAGAGCCGCCGGTGCTGCTGCTCGCGCTCACCAAACAACCGGACTGGATTTGTAAACAATGGGTGACGCGTTGCGGGCCGTACCATCTCCCCCGCGACGAGGAGGGGGGTTCCGTGAACCAAAATAAATCGCCTTTTAACACGCGAGTCACTCTACAAACCACAACGCTATCATTCAATACATTTACCAACCCGTACACACTCGTCCACCACATTAGATTTACTATAAAGCTCGTTTACGGGGTTTTTCCCGCTCATGTGGTTTCCCGCCTCAACCTGAGCACGCTTGCTTTTTGGACCGCTCCGTTCAAATGGACATTACATAACTCATAACTGTCTGCTGTCTGTGCGGGCAAAACAAACAAAGCACACACGTTTTACATCTGTTTCTGTACCAAACCAAACAATCCGTTGAATGTAAAGTGTCCAGATATATTCAGTTGTGAGCAACCGCATGCTGAAATTAGGAAATGGTGAAAATCATCAGAATATGTTGTGTAACCGCTGTTCACACTCAAAACCCAGTGTTGCACCAAATTCTGTGACCCAATGAGGAATTTCAGCTTTATTGCCACATCAAACATTACACTTTATTTTGATAGCTGCTGTTTTAAGATAACAGCTGTGAATAAAACACAACAGCAGAATTTATAGACCTTATAGTTTAAAATGTGTGGCCCTGGTTGAACCACCAGTGATTGCATCATGTTAGTTAACAGTAAAACGTGATAAAATATTTCTCGTGCAGCTCAAACTCACAGAATCTCATTCAGTGTAACACATGTCTTCTTTAATCTAAACAACAAAGATGGTGCCACACCTCCTCATACTGAAAATATACGTAATAAAGCCAGATATCTAACGTCTGAACACACAGTTGAAATATTTGGCTGTGAGTGTGAACGTGTGGAGCCGGCCGCTGGCATCCAGCGTGCTTACAGTGACAATAGGAGTGGAGGGAGGGTGTGTATCTGCGGGAGAACACAGTGTACATTTCTGTTTCTGAGAAACAGCAGCCGGGCTAAACCTGATGCTCCAGTCAAAGAGAGAGCTCTCATGGCCATATAAGGAGCTACTATCACTGCCACCACGTGGTACGTCGGCCAATGCGAGGGCCCCGGCTGAGGTTTCCTGTGTGTCTCAATGGCAGCAGCGTGCAGGAGTCCAGTCATACTGGAATCCAGTGAGGTTGTGGCAGTTGGGAGTGAAACCAACATAAACAGTCATCACTTCCTGAAAGGTACAACAACAGTACTTAGATGACTTTACAGCATTTCATCGGTTTATATATGCATACACTGCGTTATTCACTTAAATGGGGCATTTATAGTGTGTTTGAGATTCAATTCAAATAAAAACATGTGAAATGTGATGTATTTGTTTGGTAGTAAAAAAGAGTTGAATACACACATTACAACAGATTAAAGTACAGGAATAAGATCATTTCATTGTACATTGAAACTAAAGTTTGATGAGATGTTGAAGCAGCGTGGGATTATGTTGTTGTCTTCACCACTATTGCAGTCAGCTTCAGTTAGGATTCCTTCAGTGTTCATGGTTCAGGAGGTTTCTACAAGATATGACTGCCATCGAGCAGGCAACCGGTGAAACGCAGCGTTAACTGAATAAAAATTTATAGATTTCTCTGAGTTTGGAACTTATTGGAAACATTTTGGGATAATCTACGAACACAACTTAACAACAGTATTAGTGTTTTTAGACTTTTAATGCAGAAATATTAACATTTGAAAGCTTCAAAGGCTCCACTCCAAAGACATGTGTTGAGGCTCTATTAAGGATTTTAAGGTGGAAATTATCCTTTTTTTGTGGATATATTCAAACCACACACATTATTATTGCTCCAAGCAGACTATGTTGTTATTCATGTCTGGAGGGGATCTTTAAGAATGGAAAAAAACCAAACTCCGCAAGCTGCTGTAACTGGGCTGAACATGTATTCTGTTAGGTTTGCCCACGCCCTGTACACAGTGTCTGCTTGTGTTTTAACAAATGGGATACTATAGTGACTCCCAGGATAGGTTCTACATCCAGGAGTCTCAAAAGTTCACACAATCAAAACTAAGATAACTCTAATAGTGTGCAGGAAATCTGCCACAACAACCTCCCACTGTGGGGCTGTAAACAATGATATCTAGAAGTTTCTGTGAGTCAGTTGAGTCATGTTTTAAACAGCCCTCCTCCCTTTCTCCGGTCCACCGCTGGAATCTCCACGCTGAAAAACTCACAACGTACACAACACGAGGAAGTGAGCTGGCACAAAAATGGGTCACCCACTTCCGCAGTCTTTCATGTTTTCCTGTACGTGAGTCAGCGGCGGTCTTAAACAGCACCGCTGAACACAATTCCTGTTTGTCTGCAACAGCTGCTGCTCTCACAAGTTCCCTGAACCCGAGCGCCGTGGCAGGAGCGCTGTTAGTGTGTGACCTCATCCCCCTTTCTTTGTTTGTGTGTGTGACTGTAATCCTTCCTTCAGTGTGTGTGAGATAATCAGGGACAGCAGTTGGACTGAAGAGGAGATTAATAAACCTTACAGAGAACAACACAGGCAGAAAACACTGTGTATGGATCCTGGGGGGGGGGGGGGTCGTACTGTACGTCTGGCTCTGTAAGGCCTGTGATCACACTCACAGCTGCAGAGGGTGTTCTGTGTTTAGAGGCTGATATAAATAAAGAGGTAAACTGTGGACCAACAATAGTCTTCCAGTTGGTGTTGGAATACATACCAGGAAGTCCAGTTTGAAGGCTGTATCAGCTTTATCTGTTGAGTCTGAAAGAAGAGTCTACAGCTGTCTCTTTAACCCTTTTACATCCCATCCCCAGTCATACACCTGTTTAACAAATTATGCCAAAATAAAGACCAACCAATCCAACCATAACCCCCCCCCCCCCAAGATATTCAGCTTGAGGGAAAAATAGCCATTTGGACACAAGCAGAAAGTCACAGACTCATGCTGCTGTTACACAAACAGCTCGACCGATGAATCACCAGTGCTCGGTACCACAGACCTGATAACAATAAGCACACAGCGATAACTGTAAGGGATCAGATTCTGTGCATCAACCTCCAAATGCATGGCAAACAGGAAGTTAGTTTTATTAATGCTAATGAATGTTGCTTATTGTTCTCTTCACTCTTTGGTTGTTTTTAATTTAAGCTCAATATAGTTCAGATCTTCAAAATTTTGATCTTAAATAATACTAAGACTTTAAAAAAAACAGAATTCGCAATTTTTCTAACGGTGTATTTTTTAAGTTTCCTTACAACTCCCGCCTTGCGACCGCCAGGTTGGGAACCACTGCACTAGACTGACACTGGAAATAGTCCCTAACAAATGGGGACTATTTCTTCCCGTTTGTTTGATAAAACTACAGAGAGCAGCTGTTTTAGGAGGTGTTTTTAAAGATACATGTCTTCAGTGGGAACCCATTAACTTGGAGCCACAAACAGGGTGGAGAGGTCATAAAGTGTAACACACTGTTGTTTGCTCCCTGCACATGGGAGAAGAAATATTAAATATACAGCCTGATCCTTTAAAAGCTAGTTTGTTGTGAACATCATGCTGCCTGACTGCACCAGGCCCAGCTCTGTAAAGTCTGGGGAGCTATCCGGCACTGTTACTAATTTGGGAAGTGTATCGTTGAATTTGGACCCCTCTTTGGTCGCTGCAAATCCTTTAAACTTTCCATTTGTAATCATTATTTTGACGGTCCATACTTCACTTCAGCAGCCGTACGTGTGGTGCCACTGAAGCCGGCCGAGCTGAATGGAGAGCGAGCAGAAAAGAAAACAGGCCTTTCAGCCAAAGGATCAACTTTGACAGCAGTTGGTCAGCTGCCAGCAGCTCGAGTTCACTGAGTTTGTTTCCTCCATTCAAAGAGAGACAGAGAGAGGGGAGCCATTTTTATATCGCCTCTCTCTCTCAGACACACCTCTCTCTCTCTAAGAGGAATGTGAGGAGGTTGCACATGGCAGGAAGTAATATCAAAGGATTTATTTGTTGCTGCGGTTGGAGCCTGCGGGCCTGTGTTGTAAACAGAAACATAATCACAGCCTCAATTATAAAGAGCAAATTGAATAGAAAAGTTATTGTTGTGTTGTTAAAGCATGTTCCTGAGGCTGGCCGAGGGTCGCTCAGCTGACGTGCAGCACTACTACAACACGTCTCTTTCACACAGGAGGACAGCAGTGCATGCTACATGCTAACTCCCCTGACTTATACTGGGAACAGTTTGTGTTTGTCTCTTTTCAACATGACAAAGCCCCCGAGCACACAGCAGTACAGACCTCGACCCCTCCGCCGACCACGAGTCAGACCGGATCACCCGACATCATGACTGCGTTTTTATTTAATTAGTGGACAGAGTCTGTGAAGAGAAGCCAGTACGGAAGTGTCTTAAACCTGCAGTCCTCCTAACAGCCAGCAGGGGGCAGCTCCCACTGGTTGCAATAACACACTTGAACCACTTCAGTCTTAGGGAGAAATGAGTCGACTTCTCCAGTTGATGGTATGTAGCCTTCAGTTAAACAGTTTCCTGAAATGAGTTTTCTGGTCTTCAGTCTCTAGTTTTTCAGTCCCCTTCTTCCATACAGCATGATGTTCATTCAGTAACTGATGGTCCCATTTAGAGTCAAACAGACCATAAAGCAGGGTATGCTTTAGGGCGGGGGCTACCTAACACACCAAACTTTCACAAACGTATTTTACTATTTATCTGTAAAATTAGCTTGTGTGTGAGCAGGCGAGGCACCATTGTTTCCTGCTATGATTCGAAACAAAAAAGTTAAATTAACTTATCTGGTGTTTACACTAATAAAAACAACATTTCTTCATGTAGTAAATGTAGGAAATTTATTCACCATTTGTTGCCACCAGCCTCGCTTATAAATAAACTTTGGTTGTTGTTTTCTTTATTTTAGTCAGACAATCAGGTTGGAAACAAAGCTGCAGGTTAGTTAAACTTATTTGGACGATAAAACAGAGTTGAGCAGTAAAATACCCGAACTATAAAAACGGTTGACAGTT